CAAAATATACTTATTTAGGAAACAAACATTGGGTGTCCTTTTGCCTTTGAAATGACTAAGAAATAGACTGGGCTCAATGAGAGATATCTTAGAGCAATAAGATATATATCTGGGCTTGATTTCAAAAAGTCCCCCCATCAATTTGCTATGAGGAAGGAAAAATGTAAAGAAGTAGAAAAAAGTTATTTTCCCTCCAAAGCTATCAATATCCTTTCAACCAGCAAAGCAAGAGACAGAAGTTCAGACCTGTATAGAAAGCATGTGCTCTAGCACTCAGCAAGACTTCTAGTCACACAAGAGCCAGAAAAATGTGTCATGATCGATGCTTTTCTAAAGAAGCTTGTCTCCATTTCTGAGAGACCTTAGCCTGGTTTATCAAACACACACACACACCAACTTGATGTGTATCATTATTCACCTAGCTCTTACTAGTTCACATAATTTTCCTTTTTAACATCAACTGGCAGTAAGAAGTACTTCAAAACATACATTATCCCGACTCCTTGCCTCAGGGGCAGCCCACTCTATCTTGTGGAGCCTGAGATGCAAGAATTCAGAACCCTCTCCCTTAAATGATGTTATTTGCCTAGCAAAAGCAACTGCCTGGTTCTGCTGTTTACTTATACCTGGCAGGAAATCATTAACGTTAGTCATGCACACAACAATGTGCAACACACTCACTAGTTGCACTGTAGCAGCAGAAAGTCATTCAACTGTATGGGGCCCAGAACAGTGAAGCTGGAGGGGAAGCTCACCCTCTCATCCCCCTTTTTCTATCCAGCAGCCCTTTAAGAGGCTTTTTTTCTGGGTCAAGGGTCCCTGATTGGGTGGGCTGTGACATAGGAAGTCCCTCCAAATGAATCAGATGCAGACCTACATGCCTCTGGGTTGATTTTCAGGGTTTGCTCCCCAGGTATTCCCCTACCATCAAAGCAACAGCCCACTCCCTTCAGAAAGTCCCTTCAGGAAAGGGCTGCACAAGGCAGGTGGGGGTAAATGGTAGCATTGGCCACAGGTCTTCAGCTGACCCCTTCTCATTTTACTACGGTTGTCTGCAAGTAAAAAAAAAATCACCGAGTGTGTATGTATAAATAATAAAATAAAATAAAAATGCTACGAAGGTAGGTGTGTGCATGACCTCCCATCTCAGCTTTGCAGATCAGAGGTTGATATAGCAGCTAAAGCCCTGGATATGGGTCACTGTCATCTGGGCCAAAATCTCCACTTTGCTAAGTAGTTCACCAGCATACTTATGAGGAAATCACAGTGCATTAACTCCAGGTGCACTCCCTGAACTCCTTGGATAAAAGAAGTGGCATTCAAATATGATATGTAAATAACCACAGCTACTGCTGTGCTATTACACTGAGTGTGGTATCATGGGATCATTCTAAGAGAAGCAACTTACCCTTAGCTATTTCACATTGAAAGTGTTTACTGGAGGCATCAAAGAGAAGTGTCAAGTGCAAGAAGGGCAAAGTGTCTAGGGAAGCTCAGGGGGAACATGGGTGTAAAATGGTTTGAAGCAGCCAGCATGGAATGCATAAGAAGCTTCTACTGCAAGACTTTCAGGTGATTTAATAAAGGGAGCTACAGCTTCTAGCAAAACATGCAGGCAGACCATCAAATCAAAGAAACACAGATCATAGTGCAAAAGAGCATCTGGATGCAAGCTGTTTTCTTTTATATTTCTTTCTCTTTTTCTTTTACTGGTCTTAGGTACATTTTAAGAAAGGATGTGAAAACTCATTATTGGGTTAAAGAAAAGATACATGATGAAACCACAGAGGTATCATCCACTTAAAGTATGTGCTAATTTTTACACTGGGGAAAAATCTTCATGGGCCACCAAAAAGCTTTCCCCTACAGAAAAACAGCTCTGCCTTACCATTAAAAAAGTGATTTGAAGATAAGACTTCAGCAAGAGCAAACAACAAACCCAGCAAACTTCAGCAAGCAAGCAAACAAACAAACAAACAACAATCCCAGTCAATGGTCTTAAGTGACTAGATAGGCGGGATATAAATAAAATAAATAAATAAATAAATAAATAAATTATTATTATGGTATTTTTTACCAGCAGGGTGATCATTTTAAAATTTCTTCCTCAGGTACCAAAATAGATTGGTTGGACTGACTCTAAGAACTGTGACCCTGGATAAGTGTATGTGCTGAATTATACTGCTGTAGTTGTAGCCTATTCAATATTCCCCCATGCATCTATGACCTTGTAATCAAAAGATTGCCACAATTGTGCCTCCTCTCCAAAAACGTATTTTATGAACAGAAGATTTGTAGGGCATTAACACAATAAAACTGCATATTATTTACTTTGTGCTGCAAATCACACAACAAAGCTACAAATTGTAAAAAGAAATTAGGTGCACACTTCCATGTACATCACTCTTGGCCTTTGTTTGATGTTTGTTGCTCTTCCTGAACTAATGTATCTGTAATCTTTAAGTCAACTCAAGGTTGAAACAAATAAGATTCCCATGTCTTTAACTTTGCTGCTGTGAGAGAAAAAAAATCTTATGTTCTAATATCTGAAGGGTGACTCTATTAGCAAATATAAAAAGTGTCTGGGAGAAGATCTTTTAATCATGGTGATGACTGTTTATGGTAGCTGTATTCCGCTAATTATCTTGCATATTCACCTTTATTTAATGTTGTCTGCAGGGGATTCCTAGCAGAAAGGTGTTTTCATTTTTTGGTAGCCGTAAAACATGCCTGTTTGAGTAAATCGCTAGACTTCATCTTCTCCATCAATAAAAGGAAAAAAGAAGTTTCAAATGTATATTCTAATGGCTTCTATCTTCCAAATGCTAGAGCTGTTTATGGTGTGCTGTGCTGCATAAAAATGCTAGACTTGGAAACCAATAGCATGAACTGAAAGCCCTATTCATCCAGTACCATTTTGGATGGCCTTGGGTAAAATGGTTATTAGCCATTCTCATCTGTAATATGTGATCAATACCAAATTCAATCACTTCCACAGGATTTTTATGAGCATGAATGAAAAGGCCTGATATATGTTGACATTATAAAATGCTCTTGGAAACATATTTTCAGTAAATATATTTTTAATTCCAAAAAGGTTTCTGTAGGGCAGAGGGAAAATAGAAGGTTCTGAGATCTAGTTTATACATTTAGTAGTGGCATGCTTTTACCCTGTTTTCCCCAAAATAAGACCTATTCTGAAAATAAGCCCTAGTATGATTATTCAGCATGCTTGTAATATAAGCCCTAGCCCAAAAATAAGCCCCAGTTAAGAGAAATGCTGCCCTCCACCATTCTGAGGCAACCAGAAGATGACCTGACTGTATTTGAATATATGTAGATTATTGTACAGTACATGAAAAAAACATCCCCTGAAAATAAGCCCTAATGTGTTTTTAGAACAAAAATTAATACAAGGCCCTGTTTTATTTTAGGGAAAACATGGTATCTGTGCTAGTTCAGACTTCAGGAGGAGGGCTACATATCTGAACACTTCCCCATATAAAACGTTCAGTTTTTCACATCAATTGAGATAAGATATGTAGCCCGTGCTTATACAGAAATAACCTATGGAAGTCAAGATTATTTTGCCCAGCACTTACAGGCTATCTGGCTGAAACCATGAGTCTAGCATTGGGTCCTGTACAGTTTACATTTCTGTTTCTGTGCCTCTGTACATACGTGTGTCAGTCTGGACCCTGAAGTAGCAAGGTGTGACTTTGATCCTAAATAGATACAGAGGTTGACCCATTATTTATCTCATTTTCAGACTATGATGCCTCCTCACTGAAATCATGTTGGCAGAGCTACACTGTGCCCTCCAACTTGGATGACATCATCAGCTGCAGATGTGCTGCGGCCATTTGGAGGCAATTAAAAACTTCTCCGCTCCCCTCCCCCCCCGATTCCGGGGATTCCTACAGATCCCCCTTTTGTCTCGGGGCAGCCTTTTGGAGTCATGGAATAGGGAAGAGAATGATTTAAAGCCTGAAAATTGCCACCACCAGTCACTAAGGATCCCATGAACCAAGGGCAGGAAAATATAAGGAAGTTTTTAATTGCTCCAAAACGGAACAAAAACTTCTCCGCTCCCCTCCCCCCCCGATTCCGGGGATTCCTACAGATCCCCCTTTTGTCTCGGGGCAGCCTTTTGGAGTCATGGAATAGGGAAGAGAATGATTTAAAGCCTGAAAATTGCCACCACCAGTCACTAAGGATCCCATGAACCAAGGGCAGGAAAATATAAGGAAGTTTTTAATTGCTCCAAAACGGAACAACAGTGTTCCGGAAATATAAGTTTTTAATTGCTCCAAAACGGAACAACAGTCATAACTGATGATGTTATCCAAGCAGCAAAGTGTAAGATATGAAACAGAATTTTAGCCATCAAATCTATGTTTCTTTGGGCAAAGAAGATTTTATCATGCAAGGTAGTGAATATACTTTCTGCATTTCTATAGCTATATGTCTGGTCAAAAGAAGGAGGAAATTAGATTGAAGAACCTCAATAAGCTGACTATGGAGAAAACAATAATTTATTTATTTATCTTAATAAACCAGATCAGAAGAGAAATAAAGGCCTCACTGTCCACTATACTGATGTTAGTAACATCTTTGATAATTCAGTGATTTCTTACTCAGGTAAACACTGATTTCAACTGAATTACACAGCAGTTAGCCATAGATCCTTTAACTCACTGGTTCTTAACCTTGGGTTACTCAGGAGTTTTGGACTGCAACTCCCAGAAGCCTTCACCACCAACTGTGCTGGCTGGGGTTTCTGGGAGTTGCAGTTCAAAAACATCCGAGTAACAAAGGTTAAGAACCACAACTAATCTATGTGTGAGCAACCATGAGCCAAATATCACTCTAATATATTTGCCCTCTGACATTCAGATTTGCCTTCACAAAGTTGAAGCATGTTAGATTGACTTTCTTCTGCTGGTTCCATTCATTGAGCAAATAGTGCAAATGGAGATAACAAAAAACACAAGACTCACATGGCGCGTAGAACATCACTAACACGGAAGGATGTTCCTTGATAAACTTGTCAAAATCATCATCTGTTAAGTGATAAACAGCATTATCCTCTTCTGACCAAGGAATCTCAGGAGTCTGTGGTTTAGGTGGCTGAGGACTGTAAAGAAATAACAACCAGAAGGATTTAGAAGAAGTTTTCAAGAGGTGAAAAAAAAGAGTCGCCTTGGCTACCCAGATCTCAAGAAATCTAGGTGACTAGGCATGACAATATGCAACTTGTTCAAGTGGTTTAAAAAAAAGATTCTTATATACTTTAGGAGGACGCCCAATGTACTGCAGATTAAAAACAAGACAAGGGTGAAGTAAAGATGGGACACTCACATTTAAGGAAACAGCAAGAGTAAGTACAGAATAATCAGAAATAGCTTTATGGAAGAACAGCAGACAGTAGACACACTATTTCAATAGCCCCATTCCTTTTTCTGTAATAATCCTACTGAGGTCTGAAGTTGTGAGGTAGTAAAAATACAAACATACCAAACAATAATAAAGTTGCTTTCAAATATAAGAAAACAAAACAACATAATGAGTATTTTTTTTTATAAAAAAAGGAAACAAAAAACTGTCCAACCAACAATGCACACATCAAAATTGACACCAAGATTTACAGAGAAAAGCAATCCACTAGAAAGCTACAATTACGCCTCTTTAATTGATGCAGCATCTTTTTCTTTGCCACTGGTGCTGGTTGCTAAAAAATAAATGTTTCAAGCCAAATCCAAATTTAGTCTCTCAATCTTATAAAATAATACCAGGGATAAAAAGAACAAGTTAAATTTTAAAAAATGAAATAAAGGACTTGGCATAGCTCTTTGTACCCAGATTCAAAAGCCATGAGGGCCCAAAATGTAGGAAAGGATATTGAGATAATTTTGCATTTCAGTTGAGACTCTAAAAAGGCAAAAATGCTTTCCAGTCACTTAAATCTGAAGAATACTATTCATTAAGGAAAACACTGCTAAAAAACTTGATATATTACACAGGCAAAATAAGAACAATCAAACAATCTCTGAATGAGACATTGAAATGTTTGTATTCATCCATTCACAAGCACTCAAAACACTTTAAGGCCATTATCGCAATTATCTTGCCAATGACTGTAATACTGGTAAGTGTTAAGTTTCTACATTATCAGTGGAGAAGCTGAGGAATCCGTGAAATCACACCTGAGTAGAGATATGAAACACAGACTTCTAACTCACAATGCATGTTAAAGCACATAATGTTCTGCTACACCACTGCCTGTCCAGCTTGCTCCTTGGTCTGTATAGCCATCAAAACTACTGACATCAAAGGGTCTATCCTTCAGATATAGATTGTGCCCCAGGACTCTAGAACTCTGTTCAGAACAAAAGAATGTCTCTAAGCATCTATCTCATCCCTTGAAATGCTTTCAGATACTTGCTACTTCTGCATAGGGCACTTTCCTAGAAACTCTTGTTACACAATCCATTCTTCCATACCCTCCCATTTATTTTTTCCCTATTGAGTTAGCAGATTTTGAACTAGAAGCATTTAAAAAATTATACAATAGATTGATGTTTCACAAACTTCGTCCATAAAGATGTTGATGAGAACAATGAATGGCAATAGAAAAGCAGGGCCCATTCTTCCACACTCTCCCATTTATTTTTTTCCCTACTGAGTTAGCAGATTTTAAACTAGAAGCCTTTTAAAAATTACACAATAGATAGATGTTTCACAAAGTTTGTCCATAAAGATGTTGATGAGAACAATGAATGGCAATAGAAAAGCAGGGCTGGAGTACTATACAGGTGCACCTTTCCCTTATACTGCCTCTGGAGCAGAATTCTTAACAATAAGCAAATCAACAACATTTGGAATGAAACCATGACAAATGTTATAAATCCACAAAAATAGAATTGGCGGCAATCTGAGACAACATTGACAGAAGTGACGTGCAGCAACGCCAAACAAACGTTATGTATGTATCTTATAAGCTGGACTGGCTCAAAATTTTATGAAGCACAGAAAATAATAAGTACAGGCACCTGAATGGAGGACAAAGCAGAGGTGCTCCTTAGCATACTTGCAGGTGAATTAGCAACCACACTACTTGTTCCAAACACACCTGTCTTTAAACCTCATTATATACTCTTTGGAACTGGCTAATGTCGTTCAGCAAATATTTAATCTTTACAACACAGCAGAAGAATATGTAACTGTCATGGGTGGCAATGTTAAATAGTTAATAATTAAGGGCAGCTCCAGAAGAAAATGTGTGAAGGTATTTGGAAGGTAACAAAAGGTATCTCATGCTATTTACACAGCATCACAAGTGTTCGGGTACTTAGGTAGTCCATGGCCTATTGGTAATATTGGGGGGTGGGGTTCATCTTTAGATGGTAATGTGTATTATTTCATTTAGTTCAAAACACTGTAAGGAAAACACACCACATTTGTAAACACTTCCTGCTCATTATGATATGAGACACCATATCTATCTGCTCCAAAATCCTTCCCTAACAGCACAATGTACACAGTGCATTATAGAACAGAAAGGTCCTTATAATAGGAAACCTGTCATTTGGAATCAGATGAGAGTGAGGGGGGAAAAGCCCTGGTAAGAAACATCCTGGCCTGACTTAAGCTTCCAAATTCACAACCTAGCACGGCCGATGGTAAAATATGATAGGAGTCCTGGATTAAAACATCCAGGCAGAGGGAGAAAGCTTCCCCACTCCTGAAACACAGTGAAGAAAAAGAAATAAGAGGAGCATGTTGAACAGATAAATAGCATGTGTACCATTCTGCCTCATGTTCTTTGGCATACTTCCAAGACAGGATGAATTATTGCCAAAGGTCTCAAAGAAAATATGAGTTCTGAGAAGAGATTTTAAAATGGGAGTCAAGGAGCGTATCCTATACAGTATCTGTTGTGGGAAAGATTTCTCTGAAAAATGGATAGCTAGCAAGAAAAAGACACAATATAGAAAAGCTCTGAAAAGCTAAAGATGGAGGTACAGAAGTCTGGACATTGGCTATTTAGACTAATGTCCATGACGATGGGCAGCAGCTCTCCAGGGTCTCAAGATGCTTGGGTAGTGATGATAAGATACTGCATGCAATGATGCAATGAAGCCAGGACTCACAAGGTCAACCCCCACCCACCTCAGAACTTTCTGAGTAGCAGAGGACTATAACATCATCTGTAAATCCCCTCAGGCTTCCTGCTTCCTCTGAGTTTTGCTGAAATCCTCACAATACAGTGGGGTCTCGACTTACGAAATTTTGCTGAAATCCTCACAATAGCTAGAAGAGAAATGGATTTTCTTGGGAACAATATAGTGTTGCAAGCTATCCTTTCTACAATGCAATGTGTTTATGAATAGTTTGGTCTTGAACATGCTATTAAGAGCCATCAGCTTTACAAATGATCTCCTCATTAATTGATGAGGACTGACTTTCCTCATGTGTTGGGGAGTGGCTATGGGGACTGTCAAGATGAGTGCCTGCACTTCCAAATTTAACGCTACTCACCACTGGCTGCATGTAGCCTTTGCTTAAGGACGTGCAAAAGTATCTCAAACTTTAGCTCCTTCACATTTCAAGTTCCAGAAGGTGGCAGGCTGAAGGTAAACAAAGCAGGCAAAGGCTTTTTATTCTGCAGTTGCCTTGTCTCAATGATGGAATTTTAAAGTGGTTCAAGCAACAGCATCTTTTTGCCACCTTACATCTTCATAGCTTCTCCTGTGAGTTTTTACTTGGGTGCGTCTCTTCCTCATATTTTTTACATAATGTGAATCCAGAGTCTGTCCTCTGAATACAGTCAAGACGACACAGATTCTTGATTTTTCCCCCCACTCATTTGCAGTAACAAACATCCCACTGAAATAAATGGAGGTCCTGCATTTACAAGTCCTTTATCAGAATGGAAAGAGATTGGGGGTGGGTGGTAAATCCACTATCAGCCTGTAACAGGAGGCTGAATTAACTGGCAAAGTTATTTGTTCTTGTTATTCCTTTTAATTAGATTCATTATATTCCACATAGTGCCTACATATGTCCTACCATTCTTCAATTACATTTTTCTGGCCTTCTTGAATCACTGCCATACAGACTGGCCTACTCAGACTACGGATTCCTTTGAGTAATTCATTACTATTACTGTGCTCGCGTGCCAGGTTTACACTGTATACAAATTATACACTGCAACGTCAATTATGGGCAGCTTCCAACTAAAACACAATTTCTTCACATGAAATCTCTCCCCAACCCCCAACCCCAATATTGATTTCTTTTAAGGGAGGAGAGAAAAAGCTGCTGCATTACTTTGCCTTCCAGGAAACTATTAAGCGTGCATTGGAAATTAATTGAGGACAAACAGCTGTCTTTTGCTCTGGACGGCTGAAATATCAGCCAAAGCCCAGAGTGGCTTGTTAACAGAGATTATCATTGGGAAGAGTCGGCAGCTGTTCTGCTTTGCCTTCAGTGGCTGCATTCACTAGCTGTCACAGCACTGATATAAAAGCATTGCATATTATGGGGATTATCAAACTATTATGCAGGCAGATTGAAGCAAGGAAAAAGAAAAAGAACTCTAGACACTTCTAATGTTCCACATGTGGTAGCCAAGAGATAAGGGCATCCTTGGTGAGCCAAAAGTCGAAGAAAAAGGTACAGGTGGTAAAGGCATACGCCATTGCTCAGGGATGGGAAAAAAGAAAAATACCCGTGTCTCGATCTCTCTGAACTTGGTGCTGCTTTCTTAATACACCAAAAAGAAAGAGAGAGAGAAAGAGAGAGAGAGAGAGAGAGGCATAAATGTTAAGGACCAAACTTCTCCCTTTGATCCATGCAGTAAATACTCAGCACACTTAGGATTCTGCTCTCTAAGACCCAGCAGCATGGATGTTCTGTAGTGTCCTTGAATTTTGACTGCTTCTAGTATAACACATTCAAAGCACTTAGGGCACATTAAGGACCACTAAGTATAACCTCCCCTCTCCCAGGGGCCTTGGACATAAAAGAGTTCTTCCACATGCAATCTCTGGTACCACTTACAAATTATCAACCTTTTGTTGGAATCACTATATTGTTGTCTATATTAAGGTAAAGGAACCTTAAAGTGAACAAAGTAAAGCAGCAGGGAGGTTTTAAACGTAATGCAGGAGGGAGGCAGCAGGTGGAGGAGTGATTTTAAGGGGGAAAAGATTCCATAGCTCCATAGTCTATTATAATGTGGAATCAGAACTCCTGCAAGGGATCAAAAGCATTCAAGGCTACCAATTTATCACAGCATAATGGTTAAGAACACAAGCTGGGTATGTCCATACAAATATCAACTTGGCCATGAATGTACATCACTGCCTAAGGCAATTATAAGGTTCTCCCCACCAACACGATCCCTACATTCAAATTTTCACTACTACAGATTGTTATAAGTATACAGTGGTGTCTCGCTTAACGAGTGCCTCGCTCAACGATGAACTCGCATAACGATGGCCTTTGCTGGAAATTTTGCTGCCTCACCTAACAATGTTTCCTATGGGGGATTTTCGCATAACGATGTTTGGGACCTTGCTTCACTTAACGATGACAGTTTTAGGTCCCCTGTTTCACTTAACGTTTTTTTTGACAGCCCTGTTTTCGCTATTTTAAAAATATTCTAAAATGTTTAAAAATGTTTAAAATGCTTGGAATCGTTAGTGCACCTAATAAAACCTTCGTTAAAGTAATTTGGCTTCGTTCTGAGTCTTTTTGAATTTTTGGTGATTTTTTTTTTCACCACTGAAATGTATTGAATAGGCTCCTATGGGAACGGATTAACCGGTTTTCAATGCATTCCTATGGGAAATGGTGTTTCGCTTAACGATGTTTTCACATAATGATGTTTTTAATGGAACCAATTAACATCGTTCTGCGAGGCACCACTGTATTTCAAGTAATGCATGTGGAAGACTTTGCACATTTACCATTTACATTACTCTTTCCCTAAGTGCTCCTCTGTTGCTGTCCCCAAGCCCTTCATGACATGTCAGATCAATCTGCGTGGTCCAGATCACAATTTACTGTCTCCAAGTTCTTGCAGAGCAAACAGTTCCAAATCAAATCTGTCAGAAGATCAAATTATGTGAATATATTCATGTCAAATATTGAATATATTCAAGTCATAGGCACAATGAGTGCAAGCAGAATCCAAAAGCCATCTAAAGGCTTCAGATGGCTCATACAGCTACTGGAACAGGGATGGAGATGCTGCTGACTCCAGAGTGTAGCTAGATTTTTTTTAATGCAATTCTCACAGATGCGATGGATTGTCTTCATTAGGGTCAGAAGCAATCCCATGACGCTTTCAGAGTACAAGGATCAGCCAATGGGGTCTGGTCCTTGCCCAGGGGAAGCCTGAATGTGTTCCCAGCCCTCACATTCCCCAGAGACGCTCCTTCTGTAGCTTCCATGTGGTGGATACCATCCAGATACTTACTTCTGCAGCCATTCTGCTATGTCCTTTGCTGTAGCACTGTAGTTTTCAAAGTTGAACAGGAATTTCCCCTTTCTGGCAACACACAAGAAAAAAAAAATCAGGATACAGGAAAACACATAAAATCAATGGTTCTGAAGGCATCTACATTTAGAATAAATAGAGACTTACTCAAAGTAGCAGATAGTTGGGTATCCTCGGACATTATATTCTTCTTTGATTTTTTCAAATTCACCTGAGTAAACATTCATCCCTGCAAGTACCTGCAGCAGCAACAAGAACAAGCACAAAGATTCTTACTACATAACAGCACCCAACAAATACGAAAGCCTATTTTCCAATCCATTGTACCCGATAGCGGTCTGGGCTTGCTAATTACACCACAGAAAACCTTCTTGCCTAAAAGACAGCACAGCTATACTGTATATAGCCAGAATCTTGCATACTTCCAGGTTTTTGCCACCGTGCATTCATTCAGGTATGGTCTTGCCCTTACGGACTGTTACATGCTCATGGCTGTGAAGAGGTTACAATTAAGAGCTTGTTTGTAAAGGAAAATACATTGTCTTCTCATGGGGTTTCACAGGGAGCTTCCTTCAGCTCAGAGAAAGAAAGAAAAAATGCATTTGCCATCATGGTGAGGAGATCCCTTATATTACAAAGCAGACCACTGCACAAATAACATCAAGAAACAGGAGCTATAGCAGTCCAGGTAACAATAACAATTTTGTGAGCAATGCACAGCCAGCCATTAAGCCAGCCTTTCCCAATTTGGTGCCCACGAGGCGTGCTGGTCTGATTGCAGTCCATACTGGATGGGACTGATGGTAATCATAGTTCTAGAGGGCATTTGGCATAAGGGTGCATTTACATGTCTCCCCCATAAGGGAAAGTGCTAATGTCACACAGATAAATAGCTTCCATGGGCCCCACTTTGTTCACCTAGTGCAATGTACGGTTCATTATCACCCTGGAAAAGAAAAGTTACTTACTTGTAACTCTGGTTCTTCGAGTGGTCCTCTGTGAATTCACACTAATGGGTTAAGTCTGTGCTTGCGCAGAGGCCTCGGAACATTCTACTGCTTAAAGTAACCATTTTAGCCCCTCCCCCCAAGCCCTCATGGTCTGCCCGCCCTAACAGTTACCTCAGTTCCCCAAATTTCGCTGCTGCTCTAAGGCGAGACAACCATGACGGAAAGAGGGGAGGACAGGCGGGAAGTGTGAATTCACAGAGGACCACTTGAATAACCAGAGTTACAGGTAAGTAACCTTTCTTTCTTCTTCGTGGCCTCTGTGAATCCACACTAATGGGTGATTAGCAAGCTTGCTTCTGATAGGAGGAGGGACGTCACGGCAAAACAGCAGACACGACCGTGTGTCCAAAAATGACATCCTCCTTGGCCCGCAGATTCAGGTGATAGTGAAAGATGAAGGCTGACAGAGTGGGCCAAATGGCAGCTGTGCAGGTGTCTAACAGCGGGACACCCTTGAGGAAAAGCTGTAGAAGTAGCCAAAGTTCCAGTAGAGTGAGCACCGGGTGCAGGTGATTAGACTTGCGGGGAAAAAAACAGTCCTGTAAACATAGAACGATAACACTCTGCGAACATCTAGCAGGTGAAGAGACCTCTCTACATCTGTAGGCAGTTAGGAAAGAAAGTAGGCAGACAGATAGGCTGCTGAACATGAAACTCAGTAGAAACTTTGGATATGAAGGAGACATCTGGGTACAGTATAACTTTGTCCAGGTGAAAAAGTAGGAAGGGAGGATCCACCTGAAGTGCTACTGGAAGTAACTGCAACTAAGAAATAACCTTGAAAGTCAACAAATGTCCAGCAGTTGCGGTCAGTGGCTCAAACAATGAACGCGAGAGGCACTCAGAACAGTGTAAAGAGCCCACTGTGGTATAGACTGGCCCCGTGGAGGGTAAAGGTTTGCCGTACCA